CTATATATGTATATGTCCTAAATGGCAATATTAGGTAGGTACGAACTAATTCTAATATCCTTTATTATAATTTATATACCGAAGGACCTCTGCTTACGGAATAGTTTCTAATTTTACTTACATACTATTATATACTAATATCAAGATTATATTATATATATATGTATGTACCTAATTGATTTAAAATCAAATGAACTAACATTTTTCGAACTAATGTACTTTTATAAGTGTATAACACAATATATAATATAATATTATGTTTTCGGTTCCCTTGATGCGGTCTATAGTACACTAATACACTATATAGACTCTACGTCTCTACAGTACTAATAATCTATAATATGTGCCTATGCAGTATACATAATGTATATAGTATGCACAGTGCACATACTTACTACACATCAGTACATCACATATTATTATAATATGCACACATGCATAACGACTGCGTTTTACCCTGTAGTTCCGATGCATCAGTGACGTTTATATTTTGTAAATAATTGTGATCCAACTATATTGCAGATACCATATGATATTATTAAATCTGTCGTACACTATTACTACGCATATAATATAATATATATTATATATACCTAGTCATATAGTTTTGTGTCTCGAGAGTCAAGAACGTGTGTGTCCAATGTCCACATTATATTATATTATCTCAAATTATTATGTGTATACACGACCTATATATCAGCTGTGTCCGGAGAGACGCGGACCATGCTCGGCGGTGGCGACGGCGGTGGCTGCAGCGATTACCGTGGCGACAGTGCAGGCGTCGACGACGGGCGGCCGTCCGGTGGACGCATGCGAAGCGTTTTAATCCCGCGCCGTAGGGTCCGGTCACGTTCTGTGCGTGTACACCACATACTCTATGCAGCAGACGAAGACGTGATATTATTATTATTATTGTTATTATTATTATCATCATCTCTGGTGCAGTACACGCCATAAACACACACTCTCACACACACTCTCTCTCTCACACACACACACACACACACACACACGCACATACAGACGCCCCCGCTACACATTGAGTCGGTGCACAATGCTTACACGCATAAGCGTCGGCGTCACCACTGGCCGCCGGAGATCCCGCAGCCTCGGGTGTGTCCGGCGGACGCGATACCCATCGTCCACAACGCGAATAGTTCAATAGCCGACCTAAGACGGACAAAATATAAGAATATTGTAGAAATGCACTTGTGCACACAGCGTGCTCGCAATGGGGCGGCGCTTAAAATGTAATATAATATGATGATATATTATGTTTTTTCGTGTCTTATGAAATGTATATTGTACTCGTCTAATGCCCCCTCCCGACCCCCGTGTGTTTTCGCATACCATTACATATTTTCGTTTTTCAATTTAAGAGATGGCAGATCTCGCGGGGACCGAAATGGCCAAATCACAAACACACATCTGTAATATAGTCCTATATAGTGCAGTGTATTAAAATTAAAATTAAATAATATGATGGATATATCTAGTACATTAACATTATATGTATATATACTGCAAGCATATGGCTGACGAATCTGCTATAGTTCACACGTCTCGCTCAAATATTTCAAAGTCATAAAATAATCGAATCTCCATTAGAATTTAGAATAGTATAGTAATGATGATGTGATTATACATTTATAGAAACGCATTATTCAATAATGTGGAAATAGGATTGATCACTGCAGTACATAATAGTTAATAATATTATACTCAAGATTTTAGCTATTGGCTTCTACCCAAAATACCAACAACAGACGTCTGCATGCAAATTGAGTTAATAGAGGCATAGACCACTGAAATATTAATTATGGAATGAAATTAATTTAATTATTACGGTAGTAATATAGATACATATACTTATACCTCTAAGCACATTCATGTTGATCGTTCTAACGAAATACCTATTTCATTATTTAGTTCATTGATACATATATACTGTTATATAAATAGGCACTGCCTACAATCTGGGTTCGCTATAAAATGTCTGTATTATAAATTTTTATAGTTTAAAATCACGTTGCTGTATGTCATTGTAATTTATTGAGTCCAATAAACTTTTAAATTTGTATAGTTAAGCAGCCTACTATTGGAGCGATGAATTGTTTAAATTTCAAAGTGCGATAATCATTGTTATACAACTATATAGGTACGTCTAGAATATTTTAAGATATAAAATTAGGTACAAATGAGAAGCAATATTCAGAAAAAAATCAGAAATACTACCACCATTGCATTTTAAATTGTTCATATTACAAGAACTTTTTAAAATATTTAAATTGCAGCCTGCAAGTAAAACTTTTATAGGCTCATAGAGTATAATATTAGCATTATAAGCTAGATAATTAAACATGCTGTTTATTTTAAAAGCAATGGCGTCTCAGGCTATCTTAGTTTAAATTTGTCTACATTTTAAATTGTATACTTTTATATATCTACGTTTTATTTTATTTACTTCAACTTTAAATGAAGTTGTAATCACAAATATACAAAAAAAATTGGCTCTCATTTCATTTTATTTTTAAAAATTGTAATTTCTCTATTTTATAATATATATATTTTTTTGGTACACGTACTTTTGGCTTGCATTCGGTATTTTAGTAATATTAAAATGTATTTATTTTAACACTTTTTTTACCGTCAACATATTTATCATTATAATTTATAATAAGCATAATTACACACGGGAACCAAACATATCTAACTCCATAAAATAATTATTCTATACCTACTTGAGCAATATATTATATTTAAAATATATACAGAATTGTAGGTAAATAGAATTATTTATTAAACCTATATTTATTTATAATAAAAATAAAATACATAATAACTATAAACAGATTAATATGTAAACTATTAGATATAGGTATTATATTATATTTTACAGTTTATAAATTATAACTTACAAGCATTAACGCAGTACATTTTATTACTAAAGTGGGCCCAACCTATATTATATATATAATATATTATTGCACGTTGCAACAGTATAAAATATTTCCTATACACTAGATAATGTAATACATAAATAGGTATAAGCCTTCAGGTATGTACTATAATTATTATATTTATATCATAGTATGTATATTATACACTATAAAATATATAGAAATATTATCTCAAGTATAGTTACTATACAAGTAATCTAAATTAACTTTTACACCCTCTTCCCTCCTCCCATTGAAATAAAATATTTTTTATTTAAATTTAATAGGCCGTATACTTGTAAATAGAGGTGAATTTTGGGGGATGAAGCTCATCTCCGGCTCTACTTCCTTATAGATAATACTCCAAAGATACTTTTTTACATTATAACATTGTACTTCAAAAATACCTTATTCTTAATTAGTTAGTTTATAAAAAAGTGCAGTTTTCTGTATAGGTACTGCAGTAGTCACTGAAAAATCTATGGTAATATTTTCTTTGTCTATGATTTATCTTCGCCTATAAAAACATATGATTTTTAGTTATAAAGGTATAATAATAACTTATTAGTATTCCTGTCTTTCGAAGTTTTTTCATTTATTGAGCCATATCCGACTCTGCGTTTAATGTATACCAAATAACCAATATTTAATATTTTTGTATATTTTTCGACCACAGATGATATTACAATATTTTTTTCCAGTTAAACTTAAACATTTTCACTATGTGCAAACACGAAAAAAATTAAAATTTCCTATTGAAATAAAAAAAATAAGAGTTTAGCTAGGTATACCTAAAAGTTAATTTGCACTTAGAAATTTCTGTAGGTTTAAATATTAAATACCTATTCATAATATATGACCTGACTTTTATTTTTATAATTATCTCAATTCGTATGTACATAAATACAGACGATGTGTATTAAGGTTAAATTTATGGCACAAATATAATATACAATAATGTAAGTTAATTTTTACTTAAGTGTTTAAATAGTAAATATGTTATTATGATTAAAATTATTGAATAACAAAGTAGTCAAGTATAATAAACCCATGTTACTTATCACTCAAGAGACAAGAAGCCATTTTGAAATATATTTACAATGTCAACCTCGAATCCAAATAAATATATTAATATAGGGTTTATTATTACATCGATTATGTGTATGATGTACATGCGATATTAATATTTTTCATCAAGTGGAACAATAAGGCACATAGAAATTAAAATACAATAACAAGTACCAAAATAAAAAATGGAAAATAAAAATTGCTAATAAACACATTTCCCGATAGTGGCGGTCGGTAGAGAAGGCGGCGGGGGTTGTCCCGGGGGGCAGTGCTTATATTATTGTGTATACACAAAGTGGGATTACGTCACGCGCGCGCGCGCTCTCGCGCTCGACTAATACCTCCCCCAAAAGGGGCGATCCGAGTTTATGATTATGAGCTTAAATCGCGAACCACGGGATTTGACGTCAGCTACAGTGGCGGCGTGGGATAGTGCTTCGACACCCTGCAGGTCCCCTCTACCACATGATTACGCCACTGTTGCAGGACGTCACGTCGCATCGCCGACGAGAAAAAACCGTCAACAACAGTCCGCCAGTCCGGTCGACGACAATGCGAAATGCGACACGTAAACGGGCGCCAGGGGATCGGCGAAGGTGGTGTCTCCTCGCGTGTGCATTGTTTCAGACGGCGGTGGCAGTGCCGAATGGTCGTTGGCGAGCGCGTGCGCGACCGAGCCCGATAATTAATCGTCGCTAGTAAATAATATTAGTACGCCGCCGCCGCTGTGGCGTCAAATCCCGCGGCCCACGTTTTTCTCACCGCCGCCGCCGCCGCCGCCGCCGGCCGCTGGGCTCGTCGTTCTGGCGACGACGTCGGCGGCGGCGCGGCGGTGGCGGCTGGCGTCGACGACGGCGGGTAGAAATATAAATGGCCCCGCGTGACGGCCGCCGTCTGCACCACCCGGCGGCGGCGGTAGCCGGTGTGTGCGAGTGCGCGTATTATATACACGCACCGCCGCCGCCGCCGTGCACACCATAATAAACGCGCCGTACCACTGCTGTAGTCGTATATTATGGTATAGTACGTGTGTTGCGCTACGGCGACTGTCGGCACTCGGCAGTGTGCTATCCGTACGCGTTCGCTTCGCACGTGTTCCGAAGTGTTGCGTTTTCGCCGCCGTCAGACTCCCGTCGCCGCGGTCCGAGTTTCCGCGCGCGCGGTCGCGTGTTCATAATATTAATACTATTGATTACTATTATTTTTATTTATTATTTTTACCGAATATTTTTCAAACACCCGTAACCTTCTGTCACTATTTTATATCGACCGTAAATTATTTACGAAAGGTTTACCGGCGGTTACGCGTGTGAAATAACAATAACAATATTATGTTTTTATCCGCCCCCGACGACGCGACGTGCGTCCCAGACCGTACGGCCGATAGCACGTAGTTTTGTTGAGCGGTAAAACCGATTGGAATAATTTTAAAAAAATTTGGTCGTTCCGGTGTTATCATAGACGCGACTACAGCTGCATACGGAAGTACCTGCTGCACACCTCGCTGTCCACAGCTTTGAGCTTCCGAGAGTCGTTCCCTCACGTACCTCTGTGATGGCCGTCCACAAGTGCACCGCCGCCGTGTTGTGCGTTCTAGCGACAACTTTGGCGACCGCCACGCTAGCAGCCCGGAAACAATCGCCTCTGCTCGAAGACAACGCCTTAACCAAGAAACCGTACAGGGTGACAGGTACTACCTCAGCTCTCTCTCTCTCTCTCTCTCTCTCTCTCTCTGTGTCCCCCAATTCACCCACACAAAATATATGGATATATGATATTATATTGTATATTTGTATCACACGCAACAATAATAATATCAAAATAAATTATTATTATTATATTATGTACGTTGTGCTGTGTTACGCATGTAACGTATTACAGGAATACTCGCGTTCTCTTTCCCGCCTTTTACTTTTTAATTCGACACGCGCCGCTGCCGGCCGATAAAAGAGCCGGTCGTTGTTTTCGTAAACCGATTTTTGGCATTTTTACAAATATGCGCCTCCCTCGCCGTCCCCGGGGCTATCGCAATTTATTCGTTCCGATTTTATTTTTAGCGTTTATTATCAGCGAGAGTATCTCATCGGTTCACTATATATGTGTATAACGCGTACAATATTATTATTAAGTTTATATTCGTACACCCGTGAACTACATATTTTACCGATAAATTATATTCGTACGATGTTATAAAAACAATACTTGTCTGTTTACCTCTATTTGCGTCTTATCTACATGCACGTCCTCGGCGGATCGGCCCTCGATGCAGCATTACAACCGCGACGTTTGTCGTTATTATATACATATATTATGTACATATATATATCTATATATATATTTATAGGTGTTTTCTCTCTAAATGCATTTCGTGCCCACACGGTGCATTGTATTCGACGCGATGTTATCCTCGACTCTCGAGTCGCACGTGTGCACACGTCCATAACCCGCGCTCTCCAGAATCTTTATATTATTATATTCTGTATGCCTTACGTACACACCACCTAATACTTATACAATTATACCTTTGTGTAAGTGTTGATCTGCGTAGTCTTTTATTGGAATCGTGAGAATTAAGGATTTCTTAAAACGGCTATGAACGTTTAAACGCGTTATATTTTATTTTCAACTATTATTTTTGTTATCTGTAGAAAATTATAACGTTTCACATGAACGATTTGCGTAGCTTTTTTACCTACGCGTCACGGCGTCGGCTAGAAATGTATACGAACGTACCTGTGTCGTATAGTGAAATATTTTATCCGGACCACGAAAGAGCACGTGATGGTGCAGTTGGTAGATTAGGACTTCAAAAAACACAAAAATTAAAAATAATTGGGTTTAATATAATATTATATTATATAACGTTATTTCAAAATTAAAACCTTATAGATAATATAATATTTTAAAAAAAATTTGACATATTATGAATGGTTTCTATATATTTTGAATATTTTTCAAATTTAAAAATAAAATATTTGATATTGTTTTTTGGGACTAGTAGAATAGATTGATTATTTTATAAAATTTCAATCTCTTATTTAGATCAGAACTAATATTATTTTATATTTTGGTAGTCCAGTATTAATATTTATCAGCGCTACATCTTTAAGTACATATGTTGTATGGTCCATTCCACAGGATCCTAGAACTAGGGTAGCGTGTAGTTAATTGAAAAAACTGAGATAAATAAGTTTATTTTGTACACCTAACGTGTGAAATTTGGCAACTAAATATAAAGTTTAAACCATATTCTGTAACTAAAGTTGTATGAAAATATAGAAATTTCATTACACAAAAATGTTAACAAGATTTGTAAATTTCAAGGTTTAACTGTACGTACCAAAAGTTTACATGGATAAAATAAATTTATCTTAACTATAACGATACAAATTAATTTAGAAAATATTCAAATGTTTCAATTTTACAAATTGTTTTATATACGTTCAATACATAATTGCAGAATTGGTAGTCATTTAAAACTTCGCAATTAAAATGAAATTCTGCTTGGTTTATGCCTAGTTCATATTATTATTTCCTATTGGCTATTTTATTTTTTAGATGATACAAGAAAGAAATCGGAGAATTATACTATACTTATTTCTATATTATAAAGGTGATAATCCATAATAGTGACTATAAAGTTGTTTATATTACACAGCATTATTGCCACTGGTGGAAATCCATTACAATATCAGGGGGGAGGGCTAACATTTTTAACATCAGTGTGAGCGGAGCTTTGATGCCTCACAACTAAAAAACTGTGTACTTTAATCGCGCCAAACCCCCTTAGCCCCCCTGCAATTTGCGTCTATGATTATAGCAGTACAAAAAGTTAAAAAGCAGCAGCAGTTAAAAGTTGTAACTTTTAATTTTAATAAAACAGTGCGTTTTGCTTACCAACATAATCAAACAATTTTCACAATGTTTACTATATAATTATGAATAATAATTACATTTAAATTATAAATATTTTAATTCATATGAGCAAATAAACAATAATTTTAATAATTTTATTGATATCAATCAAAAAATATTAAAAAGTTTGAAAAAAATAAAAAGTACCAACTTTCAAGCCATGGAATAAAATCTTTACAGTAAAACGTATGTAATTTTAAATTTGTCGAAATAAATATTTCTCTTATTTTAGAGCCAAAACGATTGCAAACTAATTATTAGGTACCTAGGTAAATAACATTTTAAATAATTTAAATCGAACGTGTAGTGAACACTAAACAGTCAAGTTAGCAACTTTTCTCCACCAATATTCATCCAAACATAATAAACCGCTCTGGCTTGCACTACTTACTACTTATATAGTTTATGATCATTTACATATTAATGTATATATATATATATATGCATTTACCTTACATACATACACATATAAATACATATAAAATATATAAGGACACACCGTAGTCTCGTAAAACTGCCAAGTAATCACACAATAATACACATCCATCGTGCATTGGGCGTCTAGACATGGCCAACGACTTCGATACGCACTTTGCACCTACAACATATATTTCACAAGGTGTCCCACAGTATGTTCCGAACGATTTGGCGCACATTCCAAATAAATACTCGACTGAGACGACTTTAATTGTATACTTGTGTAGTTGTGTGTGCTGTATAGAACAGTGGCGTCGGCGTGTTTAGGAATTTTTCATGGGGGATTTACATAATTTTTCCAACTCAAAGCTATGAGTTACATTTGTGTTCATTTTTTATAATCCCGTATAAAACCAAATTAACATCGTTTTGTGCCGGCCAATAATTGGAGAGGGGCTGGTCCGGGCCCCTTCCGTAAATCTGCCACTAAAACTGAATCATACAATTGAAACTTTTATAATATTAGCTCTTCATAACTAATAATGGTCGTATACTCGTATTTGTAATCCATTCGGTACCAATAGTATACATGATTCTCTGCAGCGTAAATATTAAATAGAATGGATTAAGTATTTATTTCAACGGAAAAATTCACATCAAATCAACTCACAACCAATGCATTTTGAGCCACTACTTAATGATAAGTAGTAATTACTATTAATCTTGGTTAACTTATTTGCGTCTGTCTAGTGTTTTTAAAGGCTTAGTAGTGGAATAATAACATAATAGGCTGAAAACATACGATGTAAAATCATAACAATTATTATTGTTGTTCTAGCACCGAAAAATTGTTTAAGTATCTATTACAGTTACTTACCTACTGAGAGTTTTATAACTCGTGACTTTGCTCAATGATTTAGATCCAACAATAGTTACGATATCGATACTGATATGATGAACTATACTATGTACTATATACAAGCGGATTAGGAAGGGCTTTTATTCGGAGATGCAATACAATTACAACAACATAATATTGTGTTTACATAATATCATTGTGTTTATCATTCTGTCACATAACCCAGACTGTCATAACGAGCGCTAAAAAATAAAAACGCAACAATTATATGTAATACTTTTATCACATTATTATGTAAAAACAAAAGCTCTCTCGGGCTGGAATTTCCAAGGGAATCATCATTATTCCCTTCCACCACCAGTCACCACCGCTGGTACCAGTACACGCTGCGAAATATATACGTCAGTACGTCACAATATTTTTCTTCATTCATAGATGATACATTGAGGTATTAAACGTCTTTTTGAACCATTGAACGGTGTACAAGCAAAACGCCGCTGGCCGGTACCTTCCGGATGACCTGCGACCGTCTGCCTTACTATATAGTGAGTTTTCGTTTTTGTCAATGGCATCGCTTAAACTTCATTACGTCAATGGTCGTCATATTATAATGCAATGCCAAAATCTCACGCATGCACATACGCGAGCAAAGATTGTCTTTTTTTATTATTATGATGATAATTTAAAGTTCACTGAGCCGTATATAATTGTCAAATCATAATAATACACTATTCGCTTGTATGTGGAGGTATAAAATAATATGTGAGGCAAAAAAAATCCGGACATACATAACCAATTATTATAACAACAATATTGTTATTATAATGTACGACACGCCGTTTAAGGTTTAAATATATGATACCATTTAAATATTAGGTGCTATTTTTTCCCACTTGATTTGACCGAATGTTTTAATTCTTAATGATATAAATACATATATAATGTTATAATATGTAGTGCATGCGTGTGTGTATAACCGGTCATACCAAATAAGAAATGAACGAAGACGCTGTTGCGTGCATAAAAACGGCGGGTAAACGTCGTCGTCGCCGCCGCCTTCGTCGTTTTCCAGTCACCGGCCGGCGCCAATCTGTTTCACGTCATTGCCAGGCTGGTGGCGGCACACACTACATACAGGCATTCAGTACACACACACACACACACACACACACACACACACACACACACACACACACACACACACGTTGAACAATGAGAACGCCAACGATAATAATCATTTGTATAAATACACCCATCGTCGTCGGGATGAAAGAATAAAAATAAAGACATTAACCTTTTAAAAAAGGTACAACTAGAATTTTTTTTCTATTTTCCCTAATAAAAATTCTCACAAAACCTGCAAAGGACCGCATGGTAATTAAAAATGTACAAGACAGTGAAACAAAAAGTATAATACGGGTCTAAATTATAAAATATACAAACGCATGTAGTAGGCCGCGATAAAATATCATTTTTTTAATACCGATAATGTCCTACAA